GCCTCTACATGCTTCTCTTGTCTAAGTCAATTTGGGTCCGGGACTTGACCTGGTAGAGAGAAGGGTCGCTTTGCGTCGATTAGAAGTTAAAAAGAGATAAGCCGGTGCTTGTGGATCATTAATGGATCTGGTAATGATTGGCTCTTATTGTGTAGACGGCGGACGAATAGTTTGCATGGAAACTTTTGCGTCGGATTGGGATCGTCTCGAAAGAATCTAGATGAGCTTGTCGAGCAACACATCCACATGCACAGATATACATATGGCAGCATTTTATTGTTGAAAATCCAAATTTTCACGAGCAAAATATATGGTCTGAGTAAATTCTTCGAAGTGTTTTTGCTAATTTGTCCAAGTCTCTCGGCCCTCAAGAATTTCGTATTAGATGGCATGATAATATCTCGGACGGTTCTTCGCAAGGACAAAACCTTAGTCAAATGATTCTCCCAATAATGAGTAGCGAACGTGCTAAATCAAGGGACCTGCGTTATATTTTAAGTGGAGACCTTGTTTGTAGTGAGAATAGTCAAACGGTATTACATCAACACATCACATGATATATTATAGCGATGATTTGCCTTGCGGGCCAGATGGCTTTGCTTATTGAATCTACATGGGGAGCATGATACATTATAGCGATGATTTGCCTTGCGGGCTGGATGGCTTCGCTTATTGAATCTTTATGGGGAGCGGCATGCATGAGAGAACGTAGATCTGCCAATTCCATGCTAGTCCATCTATTGTTTCCAAGCAGGAGATGACGACATGTGGACACTCTATTTGTTCTCACTTGCGCCAGATTAAATCTCCTTAAGGTGCGAATAATAACCATTCTGTTTCTCTGTTTTTCTATTTTTCTGTTCCTGGGAACATATTTGGATTAGAAATTCATTTGGTAATGCAATTTCATATTTCTATATTTTGAACAAATTTTAAGTCAAGAAATATATTTGGAACAGAAACGAGAAATAAAAATTTCCTACTTTTCTATTTCTGGAACAAAAAGAGAAATAAAAACTCTTATCATCGCTCGCCTTTGCCTCTCGCCGCCTACCGCACGTGGCCGCCGCCACCCCCTGCTGGCTGCTGCCACCCCTCGTGATCGCTAGCCGACTGCTGTTCCTTGCCGCCTACCTCTCGCCCGTCGATCGTCACATCTCATTGACTGCTGCCTGCCGCCCGTCACCACCTTCCACTGGCTGCTGCCAGCCCCTGTCGACTGTTGCTTGCCACCCGCTGCCACCTCCTGCCTACCAGCCACTGCCTCTCGCCGGCCATCAATAAATAGAAAAGAGTGTAAAAGGGAGAAATTTTGTGTCGTTATTAAATAAATTTCTATTTCGGGAAGAAAAATTTTGTATTGTTATCAAACGCATATTATTGTTCAGAAACTTGTTCAAGAAATAGAAATAGAAATAGAAAAATCTATTTTTTGCCAGAAATCTATCTTTAGAATAGAATGGTTATCATTTGTGCTTAACTAACCTTGGAAAATCTTTTCCCTTCTCTCTTTTATCTCTTTACCCCCACCTCTCAGTCTTTGCTCACCCATGTTAGTTGCCACGGGTTGGGCCTCCCTTTCCAACGTCCACGTCGTCGGTGCCCTCCATGACCATTGCCGTCCCACCACTAACCCCCCCAGCCTCAATTGGTTTTGTTTCTGGCCAGTCTGCTCGCCCACCCACCCCCCCCATCACCCCCTCTCTCTCTCTCAACTCAACGTTGGCATTCGGCTTTATACTAATGGTGGAGCTTGACGCCACCTGAAGCTTCCCAAGGCCGGCGAGAGGCCAATGCACAAGCCTACAGGGTTGAACTCCATGGAGGCGTTGGAGGACTCCATGATTGTCAGACTCGATGTCAACATCAAGATCTCAACTGCCATGGAGGCGCTGCCACAAAAAATATAGAGGATGAGCAAAGTATGGCAGAAGGACTGGGAAACGGTGTAGCAATATTTACAAATGCAGTGAAGGCAATTTCCCCCGTGGGGGGGGATAGTGGTGAGGGGTGGTGGCGTGTGGAAGGGGGAATGTAGGAGGGGCGACTATCGGGCATGAGACTCCTTAGGGGATAAGAGGAAGAAGAGAGAGAAAAGGAGTTTATGTACTAAGGTTTTGTACGATTTGGATTTGGTGTGGCTGGGCATATAATTGGGTGGATCGATATTGACACTTAAATTTTGGCAATCCCATTTAGTATTTACAGCATAAAAAAATTAAAAGTCAATGTTGAATGGGTTGAAGCAGGGAAACTCTAAACTTAATTGAATTTTCATGATTGAGCCCACATGAGAATAAAGTTCGGCCAAGACCATAATCTTCTCCATATGGCCGAAAATTGCATGTGCTATGCATATGAATGCCCTAAAATTGGAAAGATTGTATTTTTTAATCAAAATCAAATTTTGAGGCAATAAAGATGTAATCTTTATCCTTACCAAAAAAAAAAAAGATGTTATCTTTAAAAATTTCGATTATATGAGAATAGGAGGGAGTGATATTTTAATTTTCTAAGACGAGAGGGTTAATACATCTCTTTGGTCTAAAATAGGGAAGTGATCATTGTTATCTTGAGAAAATCCTGATCCCACGAGGGGCTCGCAATACAAAAAAAGACATGCGTTCACATATAAGAAACAACACATTGCAAAAAGGAGCGCGCTCCTCCTCCATAGTGGCTACCACCTATGGAGTTCTTGTCACCGCTGTGTCCTACTGTCGCCGAGCTCTTGTCGTTGTCTCCAGCAGCCACTGACACGCCACTCCTTCTCCGACGACACCCTTAGGTCTCCAGTGGCATCTAAACTAGCCTTGGTGCAACCTATCCTCATCACCACATCCAAGCACCAGCGCCAGCACTTCCAGTTAATCTTGAACATCCCTACAGCACTTCCGGCAGCTACAACATTCACAAACTAGTCTTGCAGCTCGTGACCAGCATAACTAGCGCTTCGGTAGTTGCCCGGCAAGCCCTTAGCTGAATTTTTAGCACGCTCGACATCCCTGTAATTTTTCTAGCATCCCTTCACACACCACCGCTTCAACAGTCGAGCCTTCGCCACGATAGATCTCACCCCCAGCTTCCACAGCCTCTTAGCAACGCCGCAAGTGTTGTAGCTTCTCTGCAGCCCTTTTGCCTATCACTACTCCCCTCGAGTGAGCCACCCAGGGGATGACTAATGGCTTACTAATATTATATTTAGCTCAGGCTCTCCTAAGCCCATTCCAATTTGTAACTTTCAGATTAATTAACATGCAAAATCAATTTATTTAGGTGTCGCTACTACTCAATTTTTTGATGGGTCAATTTGGCATCTAAGTAATGTGTAGGAGAATAATTTACTTTTTACCAATCATAGATTTTGGATACGGGGATTTGATTACGCTATATTACTCTAATGCCTTTCGATACATTTTCTCTTTTATTTCCAAAAAAGTATTCTGCATGCAACTTGGATTGATTTTAGACCTAGGCACTTACATGCAACGGGTGATTATGCGAGTGTGCAATCATTAAAAAATCACTCAATAATCAAAGCAATAAATAAATAAACTGCTGGAAAAGGGTAAGGATTTAAATACCTCAAAGTAAAACAAACCACAAGTTTAGTACAACTTATTTTTGAAATAATATGCGAAGTGTTAATTAAAAATGCATATCTAACCTAAACATGGTTTCTAAATAATTATGCAATCTAATTCTTTTTGGGTTTTTCTTTTTTTTAATGAAAATTAAACTATATCCAAAGCATGTAATGCAAACTTAACTCTAAATGCAAATAATTTAACGTGACATGAAAAATATTATTTACATGACTTAACTCTAATTACGTGCAAATTATACTACTCTATCATGACATGCTAAATACTATCTATATGACCCTAACATGCATTTTTTGACACACATGAAAAATATGCAATAGAATTGATGACGTGGCATGGATAGTGACATGGCAATGACGTGGCAATATATGATGACATGGCATAGATGACATGACACACATGACATAGCAAGATGTGATGCAACCTATTCTATGTGATAGGCACATGTTAATTTTTTGATTTTTTAATAAAAATTTGTAATTAATAAATAATAATAAATTACTATTTAAAGTGAAAGATCGTCCAAAAACTAGGAAATAATTTGGATAAAATCATATTCTAAGTAGGAATCTTATCCTTCATAGCTAGACATTATCTAAATATGCAATCCTATCTAAAAATCTATCATAATCTATTATGGGATGCGATCTTTTTGTATTTTTCAAGTAAGGAAAACAATCAAAAACAAGATAAGCACAAAATTGCAAAGAGATAATCTCAAGATCAAAATACTATCTATATGACCCCAACAGGCACTTTCTAACATACATGAAAAATATGACATAGAATTGATGACATGGCATGGATAGTGACATGCCAATGACGTGGCAAGATATGATGACATGGCAAACATGACATGGAAAGATGTGATGCAACCTATTCTATGTGATATGCACATGTTATTTTTTTGATTTTTTTAATAAAAATTCGTAATTAATAAATAATAATAAATTACTATCTAAAGTGAAAGATCGTCCAATTCAAACTAGGAAATAACTTGAATAAAATCATATTCTAAGTTGGAATCTTATCCTTAATAGCTAGACATTATCTAAATATGCAATCCTATCTAAAAATCTATCATAATCTATAATGGGATGCGATCTTTTTGTATTTTTCAAATAAGGAAAACAATCAAACAAGATAAGCTCAAAATTGCAAAGAGATAAGCTCAAGATCAACATAGATATCCATTCAATTCACACTTGGAAACAACAACACACCAATCTTAATGCCTAAAGATCAAGTTACTGGTTTTCCGTGCAATCCATAACCCTATCTCAATCCCTAGAGATTAGATTACTAATTATACGTACGTTTTGAATTAATAAATTTTCCTAATTTAGATGTGCCTAGTATCTCATGATTATCATGTTAGCATACAATCTATTCAAATTAAGCAATAAAATATTGAATTTGAACTGGAATCGGATAATTACATAATTTGAATATTTGCTTCTCGAAATAGTAACCAACGATGAGGATCACGGTGGTCGGTAGTGGAAGCTCATAGCCAAGGCCAACGGCTATGTTGACAATGGCAGCAGGCTCAACTCATGACTGGAAGAGTTGGAAGTGTCACGATGAGGGGCTCACGATACAGCAGCAGCTCGGGGAGGTCTCACCGGTGCAGCAAGCTCACGATGGAGATGCTCGAGTCTTGACTAACAAACTTGCAAAGTAAAGATTATTGACGGGAGGGGTTCATTGCTTGCTGGTGTCTTCGCTTTGTAAAGCAGATCAGTACAGTTGCAGCAGAGCAAGTCGCGAGCTGGATTTGTCTCACGGCAGGGAGTAGCTAGAACTGGTCGAAGCAGCTTGCAGTGTAGGGAGCTTCACGTCATCGTCGAGGTGCTCGCAGTGGCCCTACAATGGCGACAAGCTTGTTATAACTTGTTGGAGAAACATCTCAAAGAGTTTTGATGATCCGAAAACTATCCTTAATATAATGTTTACTATGATATATTGTGGATGTTCATGATAGTATATAAAAGACAGAAGTGATATCCGAGAAGGAAAAAGATCATAAATCTGTTCTATTCGTAAACAGCACTAACGAACTAAAAGATAAGTTGATGGCAATGTTTGTGTCAATGCTGGAGATATCATGTCATTGTTAATGTTGGAGCAATGACCATTCCAGATGATTGTTGTAGAAGTCCAATATATCCATTGCCGCTTGGAGATGCGCACCTAAAGAACTAGAAGACGTCAGAATACCGAAAACAGGCTTTCTAATAAACTTGTCAGATCCATTAGCGAAGGGACAATAGTAGAAGCTATTTTCGGCTAGGTTGCAAATGTTCAGGAAAAAGGACTGTATGGGCAGTTTTTGTCACATCCTAACCTTGAGTTATTAATGCGACGTTTCAAGCGCATCCCCGTCCCGTTTCTTTTATCTTTTCATTAAAAGCATGCGAAAGCATACAACAAATACCCAGACAAGCAGTTAGAAACAATAATTTTGTAATAAACTACTTCTTATATTATATGAGTATATGTTACAAGCCCCTTTTTCTACGGGCTCTTTTCCCTTTTTAACATAGTACATGTATCCGTGTAGGTTGGGGGAAATTCCTATCTCTTCTAGTGTGATTATAGCTCCCAAAACTAGTGTGAGACTTTCATATCTACAAATCTGAAAAACAATGGAGTGAGTCAAGGACTTAGTAAGTAAAACTCACTAAACTTTGGATATGAGGACTCTTTGCCATCGAACAAAGCATATGTCATAGCCATGTCAATTGATGGTAGATCAATAGCAAAAATGCTTCAAACACACTTGTCTTTGTGCATGAGATGATCTCATCTCGCCTTTTTCTATTCATGCATCAACAATACAATCAAGAGTATACACATGGGGGTTCATTCATTATTACAACCTTTCACACGGTTCTTCTGGAATCCACCTGGCAACAATCCCTAATCCAAGGGTAACGGCTATCATCTAAAATCCACCGGGTATCTAAACTTAATCAGGCAACGTCTTCTATCAAGGGCGATGACTATTCATCCGAACTTAATTGGGTAATGTCCCAGAATCAAGGGTGATAGCTATTCATCCAAACTTAATCGGGCAACGTCCCCAATCAAGGGCGACGGCTATACTTTTCCCTTGCGTGACCATGCCAACAAGCATCATACCAACTTGAGTATTTCACACGAAGTGTATATCATGCCATGTTACCTCTAAAGTCTTAAGTCATGCCGGGCACGAAACCAAGCTCGTGGCCCGAACCGACCAGTCATGGCACCAACCTACACCAAGCAAGGCTTGAATCGGTACACCTCAATACTGACCCTCTAAGCAAGGTCGTTTCGACACGCCTCGACGTCGAGCCGAACCAAACGAGACTTGTTTATGGCTCGGGCGTGATATCAAATATGATGCCAAACACATGAGCAGACCTTACAAATGTAAATGCTAGCACGGCAAGCTATATTAAGTGTTCACAAATCATAGAATTCATGCAAGCACAACAAGCACATGACTTGCCCAACAACGTAACACATCACCCTAGCTAAGGTTTAGTAAGTTTACTTACCATCCAACCAAGTACAACAAGAACATAACTCGTTCAACAACATAACACATCACTCTAACCAAAGTTTAGTAGGTTTACTTACTACTCTCCGAGATCGTGGCCGTGTATGGCCTAGGGGTGAGCCGAGCGGCAAGGGCATGGCAAGGACACGGTGCGGCTTGGGCATGGACGTGGCAAGGGCGCGGCCGAGAAAGAGAGGGCAGCCAAGAGAGAGTGAGGGTGTGAGGGAGAGAGAGAGTGGTTCCGGTGGAATGGTGAGCCAAAAGGGTGGAAATGCTAGAGGGGGCTCCTCTATTTATAGGCCTCAACCTCATCATTACTTTGCTAATTGGACCATCTTGCATTTAATTCTTAACTTGCTCTCCAAGTTTGGTTCTCTAACTTGCTCTCCAAGTCTCCTTTAAAAGGAGGATGGTTCTAGAATTCATGAGGTGTCCTTCTCATTTAATGACCTTCATTAATTAAGGGATAGTTAAGCTTGGTGACTCACCATCCTTCATTTAATGTCTAGATTTGGTGTAATCACGAGCTTTGGATTTGATCTTATCCAATACTTGCTCACTAAGACAAGCCTTCCTCTTTAGAATCTTCTATTTTCTCTATTTTTCCAAGAAATAAAGCAAACATAAGGACTAGGCCAAAGGAAGTGCTAACTTGGTAGGGAATGAGTTCCTCGTGTCCATCCACAATCAACCATGCCTACCCAACCGAGGTTCGTAGTCGAGTCACCATCGGAAGTGGCGGATCTTGGCTAAACTTACTTTAAATGACTAGGCTGGTGGCCCATGGCGTGGGCACAATGGCCGGCACTGACCAAGCACGTGGCCTGGCAGACCGGGCACACGGCTCGTGCATGGCCTGTCCACCTAGTTCTTGGCTTGGATGGGCTCTGGATTGGGCACAGGACCAGGCTGTTGGCCGAACAGACCAGGCACATGACCCGTGTAGACCGAGCGCATGGCCTGTGCGCGACTTAGCGCGCATCCCATCCACAGCGATCCACAGGTCGGACGAGCACATGGTCGGTGCTTAGGCTGGCCTTTGGCCTTACGGAAGAGTCCAAGTTAGGCACATGGCCCAGCATAGTGCCTAGCACACGGCTTAGGCATATGACCCATTCGGTAAGGTCGTCGAACCAATACGCTACTGATCCACGACCGGTCTGTGACCCGTTCAAGTGGTCCATGGCCTATCCACGACCGGTCCATGGCCAAGCATACTTGGTCCGTGGACGATAGTTGATTGTCATGTAGTTGTGCGAGATCAATCGTTTTGTGACCAATACATGGTTGTATGGATTGATCCATGGTCGTCTGCGTTCGATACATAGTTGTGCAGAATCACCCACGACCGGAATAAGATCACGCGGTGCCAATCTATGATCGTCCATCAATCTATGGTGGTACAAAACCGTCCCAAGACCAACCCTTATGGTTGAGGAGCCGATCCATGACTGAATAGCTTGGGTCACTTGTATGGTCATTGGATTGATTCACTGCTGATTCCTTTGATCATTCCAGGGCTGATCTTTCGATTAGATCATAGCTGATCCCTTGGTTACTCTTCCGATTGGATTGATCGGCTCATGACCTATCCTTGAGTTGGTCCATAGCTGATTTTTCCTGTGATCAGCAAGCTAGTTCTATAGATATTCTGTATAGCCGAAATCGTGGATGTTATAATTTTACCTTTAGATAGAAGCGCCAACATATCTCTAATGGCTCGTTGCTTCTCTGAGACATCTCCAACGAGAAGATTGAAGATGCTTCTATATAAGAGAATATCTTGAAAGCAATATGTTCGACGCGCAATATATAAAATCTACAAATCTGCCGAAAGCTGTGTTCTTAGCGAAAAAGTGTTTCATTCTCTTCCGATCTTCATTGTAGCAACACCTGATTTTTGATAGTGTGATCTATCATATGATAGGATTGGTGTTTATTGGTTGTAACTTGTCTAGTAGATTACTGGTGCAATCCAGTCTAACTAGTAGCTGTTAGTCTGGATAGATATAAGCTCGGGGATAAAGTTGAATCACTATATATCGTAGTGTGCTATTGTTTCTCTCACTCTTACTTACACCAACACTCAATCTGTTCACATTATTTGAAATTTCTGCTTGACCTGATTTTTGCATAGTAGCTGCTAATTTCTGGAAAATTGTCAAAGTCTTTTAAAAACAGCCTATTCACCCCTTTACGTTATACTGTTAGCCACAACATAACCTGCAAAATAGAACACTCCACGGTAGTGGAAGGACTCCGGCTATGGATCGATCAAGATGGGCTATTGCGGATCACTGTGAGGCGCGGCAATGTGAGGACAAAAGCAAGTCACTGATGCAGGAGCAAGCGTCACGGCTCATGGTTGGCATTGGTCATAGCAAGGGCTCAGCCAGCGTTGTGTGGCAAGCTGTAGTAGCAAGGTGTGGCAGTGAGGTGCGCAGCGGTGTGCTCGGCCATGTGGTGTTCACGCCCTCGACCTTTTCCCCCGATCCTATCTCATGTCATTAGTATAGGTTGCATTTAATTATAATATAGCACACATGTCATTTTAGATTTCATGTTGGTTCATCAATGTATGTTAGATTAGAATTCATGTAGTCATAAAACTTTAATTTAGTCATGTTTATTTCAAAGAAGAAAAACTCAAAAAGACTTAATTGGCCTTGCATAATCACATTTAGAAATCATATATAGGTCATGCCTGCATTACATCATCGTTTGCTCTCTAGTTAACACATTGTAGAATCCATGTTTAATGGGGTGAATTAAAAAGCTTTGCTTTTGCTTGCTTAGTGATTACATGTTCTTTGGTTATGTTTAAATCAATTTATTTACAGCTTTGACGAGTTGTACATTATTCCTTGCACACTCATATTATCACCTCTCGCATGTTAGTGGTTAATTACTTTCAAAATAAAGAGAAAAGTTATCGAAATGACGTTAAATTAATCCAGTGTGATAAAGTCCCTGTATCCATAAATCTCTAGTTTCTAGAAATAAAATGCACTTCCAAATTTTACCTGGGTCTCTAATAGATCCATAATTGATTGGTGGTGGCTCCAAAATAAATTGAATTGCATGTTAAAAAATGATAAATGAAAACCTCAAGTTGCAATCAGAATGGGTTTTGGAGAGTCCGTGCTAGGTGACGGTACTATCTCTTTAATAAGTAAAAATTTATTCTTGCCTAATAATCCATTTACTTTCTCTTCATAGCTTACCCCGAGAAAAGCTGCGACAAAATGTATCGTAATCACGCGAAGGGAACCCCAATTGCGTTCACAGTAACGAACAACAGATCTGCATCCGCATGAGCGATTGCACGCGATCGTACATGATTGCATGTGATCGCACATGCGCTTGTTGCGATCTGTAGGTTCGTGGGATTGAAGCTAGTCATTTTGACTTCACGTCAATAGCATGAAATCCGAGATATGCATCGACGTTGACTTGACTCACTGTTCATGAAGTATGCTGTGCAGGTTGTGGCTCAGCGGTGAATGGAACAAGACAGCTAACGTGACCCTCTCGGGCCCATCTCCTTTCGTATCGTAATCTTGGAATTTGAAAGGAGAATCCACGTCCACGTGATCATCTTGTAGATGGGATCAATACTGAAGGAACAAGAGAGGATGAGAACCGACAAAAATTCACAAGCAAACAGTCGAAGAGCAAATTCGAAGAACGCCCATTAAATTGCACTTTCCAAGCACCTTTTCTCAACACTTAAGCGGGAATGTTATGAACTCGTGAAGTGACGAGGATGTAAAGAGAGGACCGCCGATAAACTCGCTTCTTCTCTACCATGTATACATATCTCAAAGAACTTTCATTCGGAATCAATACTACATAATTAACTGTTGTTAGTTGATTCGTAGATGTTTGCTATTCATTTTGGTAGTAAGTGATCAGCAGCAAGAGTTTTACTCAATAGTCACTTGCTGCATGCAGAAAAAAAGGCTTCAAAACTATATTGCAATGGTGTATCAATCTGACTCGTGGGGCTTCATCCCTTCTAATTACTTGACAATCTCATCTATCTCTTCTTCTTCTTTTTCTCTCGGTCGAAAGTCTTGTCATCGCTTTGATTCAAGGGTGCTTTGCTCATTTCGCTTTCAGCGTGTCCACTGCATGCGTAGATACCAAAAGTTTGCGGCGCCTATTGCGGAATTCTAGACAATTTTATCTTTTTACTATTTTATCATTTTATTTCCTTTTCTACTAATCCAGAGAGGGCGTGTCATGGAGATCCAGCCGGCTAGAAGCTCGCGAAACACTCTACAAGTTCCACGAGCAGGTTACATCTAGAGTTTTGGCCTGTGCATAGATTGTCTATCTTAATCAGATCTCACGAGAAAATAATTTTTTACGAATAGCTCAATTTCATTATTAGGTGTTTGTTTGCATCTATTAGGAAGATGGGCTTTATTTTAGTATAGAAATAGTGATTAGGTTATCGCTAAGATTCTTTTAATCAAAGGTCTTAGGACATCGAACATTATTCTTTAGAGAATTAACTTATAAATCGATGCGATAAACTCTAAGTGAATGATCCTTCAAGTAAGTGAGACATATTCAATAAGCACGTCTATCTAATCCCCTCTATTGTATCCAGATCAACCTTATCTCGGTTGATTTTGCTGTCTCCGGAGAATCCCTACGTGAAATGCACTTCTCTTGTGAGACGTGCTAGTTTAGGCTCATCGGTCCCTATCAAAAACCTAACTAAATCATCGGTGGTTTCATCACCTACATACCTAAAAAGAAGTGACGTCACCCCAAGAACACATTACCTAATATGTCTATCTATACCTAAGAAATTTAGGCCTTCCATCATTGCTCACTCGCTTTTATTAAGCAAAGTTCCCTTTTATTTTTCTCTTAACCATTGTTACGATACAGTTTTCATGCAGGCCAAGCATCACATCAATTAGAAAAATTGAAGGCGTGTTTGCTTTAAGGAAAACTTCATGATAAAAAAATACTCTCTGATAAAATATTTTTTAGGAAATTTTTTTTCTCCTTTTCAGATTAGGGAATTTCACTTTCGTAACTTCAAGCATGCATATTTTCTTTGAACATAAATGATATTCTATTAACTGATCATTTTTAGTAAATCAAACGCGTGAAATCCAAAAAATCGATTTACTGATTATTTTACTCAAACAAACACACTCTTAATACGAGACGAGACACTAATCGCACTCTCTAGCTAAAAGCGCACAAAGCATCTATCGGTGCATGTAAT